TCTCAAATTCAGAGGTTACTGCATCTGAAGACCTTTTCTGGAACTATTTGGTGAATATGCATGTGATGGGGTAAATGGGTGGAATATGATTTAGGTTTAAAAGATCTGGCTCTGTAACAGTGTATATCTCTAAAAAATATATTTCATCTTATGACCAGCTGGATGAATATCTGGCTATGATACAGCAGCATCATGGTACTGTACGTCATGAAGACAATGCTAAATACTGACCCTGGCTCCAGCTAGAAGACTTAGGAAGTCGTGACATGCTGTTCAAGGCCAGCTTGCTGTAGAGGAAAGCAAAATTCAGGGCTGGATCCAGACCCAGAGTCCCTGTTCTCCTGCTGCTGGGAACACTAGTTTTGCCCTACTTGTTTGACTAGGACTGATTTGGTTTTCTTCCAGACTGGTTGTACTTTGCCTCATTATAAACTTCACCATGTACTGTCCTTTCCCCTGCCTTATCGCCCTGTCTCTTTCAAGGGCAACACTGGAATGCAAGAGGGGTGCTTCTGCTGGGAACTGTTCCGAGGTGAGAGGACAGGCAAAAACGACCCTTCCTCCTGCTTGGTGTTTCAAACAGCTTCCGCCAGCGGGGAGGGGATGTGTTGAGAACATGAGAGGAAACACTGAAAAGGGAGAAAAGGCACAAAAAGGGAGGGAAAAAAAGTACAGCAGGGAAGCTCAAGACAAACTTCAAGTTGTGGATTATTTCTCACCCAGGCTCTAATTAGGAAGCCTCTTATGGGACTGTGAAACTGTCAGGCTGCCAAATGTCAGCATGTTTGTCAGACATCAAGCAAGCCTCCCATCAGCAGCAGCTACAGTTTGGTGGCATGATCCTCTTGGGTCCTTCCAGTGTGTGTGGCTCACACTCAGCACTGGCATCTCCAGGGGCTTCAAGGCGCAGTGGAGGACTTTTCCTTCTCCCTTACGAATCCAACAATAAATCTTTTCCTGGGATCTGCGATCTGGCCCCTTCACCCTGGTCCTGCGCAGAGAGGGTTAACCGTAGGGTGCAGAGCCACTTCACCAGTATGTGACTCAGATTCCCAGGGAAATCCCCAGTTTATCTGATGGAGCCTGTTAGTCTGCTAATTGAATAAGCTCCTATTAAAAGTGCAATGTTCTTTAATGACTGCTAACAAAGGGCCAGATTCTGATCTGATCTTTTTGCTTGGGATCACTTTTGCTGATGGTCCGGCCCTGCCCCTGATTGCAAGCTTGCGGGAGGAAGGCAGCCGCCTCCCCAGCTCCACGGACCTCTGCAGAACCCGGCTTCCAGAGCAGACACCGAAACATCAGCTCTAGGGCTTTCCTGGTGCAAGTGAGATACCAAGTGGACATCAAAAATTCTGTTTTAATGAGCCAAGACTTCCATGAAGTGTAATAGGCAGGAAGCTTTTAACGGAGATCTTTAGGAAGAGGGAGAAGACTGCAGTGCAGTCACCAGAGGAAAGCATTTTTTGGGAGACTATGAAGGGCTCCAAGTAACATAGCTACTGCAAATATCTAATACATGATCCAAGCAGTGCTCTGGGTAATTAACTTTCCCAGTGTTGAAATCACGTTGATTTGTTGATTCTGCATATGAGATGTTGTCTGTGTCTGCACAGGAAAAATGCTGTGTATGCCTCTGCATATGCACATTCAAACCTTAATTTTAATTAAAATTACGTACATTATATCTGTATCTCTACGGGAATTGACTTTGAGAAGGTATTTGCCTAGTAGTAAAGGAAAAAAATGTGGTTAGCATTTAAAGTGAACTTAGTTGGGTTCCAGGGTACTTCCAACAGGGAGCTTAACAGCTCTGATTTCAGCCAGGCCCCGGCCACCCCAGGACAGGGTTGAGCTCTCTGGCATGACCCTGTGACCCCATTTGCCTTCCTTGTCTCACCTGAAACTCCCAGTGTGTTTCCCAAGCCTATGTGACATCAGAGGCATGAAAAGTTTTCTATTACAATTATAAGGAGAATTTTTTTTCTGTTTTCTTGCTAGCCAGGAGTGACGTCTGGTCACCTTCACCCCATGTGTTGCCACACCCACTCAGTTCCTCTGTGGGTCCTTTTATTCATCTAGGAAAGTTTCTGTTAAAATGCAGGAGCTTCTTCTAGAAGGTCGCATGTATTCACACTAGCACTGAGCTGCTGCTTTAAAAGTTTCATAAGCAATCCATAAGTGGTGGTTTTTTTCCCCACAATAACAATAGCGAAGTGTCAAGAATCTCAAGCTTCTGTTATGAGACTCTGAAACCCCTTTCTCAGCCTGTTTTCTATTCCCTACTCCCGAGTTGTCAGATGCTGTGACATGGCTCCATCACACCACGACGAGCAGTCCCAACAAACAGAAAATGATTTCCAACGGGCAAACATGCTGTTTACTCTCCAGAAAAATTGCCCTTTCCCATCTGACAGCTGATCAAGGGATCTCCTGCTGCTGTCAGCATGAAGAAGTGTTTAAACATAGGGATGGAAGTTTAAACATTTTCTCATTATCACAGAATAAAAAAAAAATTGAAGAATAATAAAAAATAAAGGCATTGAGACTCTCCGACCACCTGCTGTGTCAGTAATGAAGCGGTGTCACATGACCAACTGGCGAGGACTTTTATCTCTGCCCCAGTATCATTACTGAAGTGACACCTGTCACATGACCTGCATCAGGGCTTTCATCTGGGCTCCCCAAATGCAGTTCTGGCTTGCGAAAGGGATTTTCCTGGTGCTTTTCTCCCCCCTTTAAAGAGCATTGCCCGCTTGCGCCATTACAGACAGGGGTTTGCAAATATTAAAGCCCTTGGATTTTTTCTTGGGAATATGTAATTTGGCCAACAAACTTGCTCTGGCCTGAAGTGAAACAGAGAATCTTAGCCTGGGGAAGAAGTTATTTCATTTACTTCAAGGTGTTTTTAAAGCAAATATTTAAGTCTGCTGTTAAACTCTCTTTGCATAAAAGAGGATGTTGAAGGATTTCTCCAAAATCTCAGATTTGTTTCTATTTTTTTATTAGGTGGTAATGTCACCAAAAATCCGGGAATAAAACCTCGTAACACCAATGTAGTGTTAAAAGGCAGGCATTCTTTATTGCATCGCTGGATGCACGGGGGATAATTCCACCGAACGTGCATACCTCATACCTTTTCCACGCAGTTTATATAGATCAAAAATATGCATATTTGTTTTATTCATGCATATTCAATATTATTCTCTTTGGCGATTGGTGTAAACTTTTCTCGCTTCTTACGTAAATGGTTGCACAGACTCAGTTACCCTCTTCCATTGTTCCTTTTTGGGTAGGTGGTATTACTTGAGTAGGGGGTCTGTGAGTCGGTGGTTGCGATCTGCCCCTGCTGGAATTACCTTTTGTCCACTAGGCTCGCAATCTTGGCAAACCTGGTCAGTCTCTTCAGTCCGTTTCACAGAACCACACTCCATCATTTCTCTTGACAAAACCACAATTACCTACTATGGTTAGCGTTAATGGTTACCTAGAGAACAGACCCTCCGTTCCCAGACCTAATGTCCAGGTGGGTCGGGCTGTACCAGGAACATAGCAGCATTGTTCATGTTTATGGTTAACTGATTCTATCTCCCTGGTTACATTTCCCCCCTTTGGAAGTTTTGAAATAATCATCTTTTCGATACTTCCATCCTAAATTAAATTATATTTTAGTTATGCACTAATTCTATACTCTACTGTCAATAATGATTTTATAACAACTCAATTATCCACTATCCACTATATGATGGGAGCATCATGACCAAATCACTTAAATTTTGTTTTTTGGCTACTGTCTGAATAATCATTTGATAGACAGCTGTTTTGTTGGCGAGTTCCTTTTTTAAACAATAATAAATGAGTAATATCACTAAAAATACGATTAATAAATGTAGCTCAGTACTAATTAAGGATTTTACCCAGGAACTCAAGATTCTACCCCAATCCACTGAAAATTTTGTCAAGCCAATTTTCTTCCAGAGTTCTTGGGAAGTATATTAACTGTTCCACTTTTATTGACAGTGGATCCTTACTTCTTGTTTTCACTTTTAATACTTTAAACAATGCTCCCATCATCATCAGTCTCCAGGCCAGAATTTATTCTTTCCATATTTTACAATGATAGCCCTTCCTTTTAGACATATTTTAAAATTAGTTTTGCAGTCTCTGGATCTCTATTGATGATTTTCCATGAAGGGGCCTTCTTCACTCGAGTGTAGTGTATCCACGGTTCCACTCCTTCTACT